GTCTACAGTTCTACAGCCATTATGGTCTTATTTTTAAAGTTTGTCTTGAGCTTTAAATGGGAGCAGAAGTTGAAGAGCAAAAAACTGTGAACCAGGAAGGTTTGTGGTCATGTTCCTTTTTTTTTTTTAGCAACATATTTCCATGATGTTTTGTATCTAGATTAAAGTGTAATCTTAAATTTAGAATTTGTGGAGTTGTAGTGCTTGCTTTTTATAAAAATACAAGCTTCCAGTCTCAATTTAAAACTATGTTGTCTGAAAATGGAAACATACTATTGTATAAATTTTGTCTTTGGTTACGTGCATCAGATTTAGCTGTACACAAAAGAGGGGGATGAATCTGCACAGAAAATGATGAAGTTAAACAGGATAAGCTGAAGTGGGTGATGACCTGTTTTATCTGAGTTTGACAACTAGGTTATTTCCTCTAATTTCCAGTGTTTTCCTTGGTGTTGCCACCCTTATGGTGCAACAGAGTGCAGAGAGACCCAGCAAGGGCCGGGGACAAAGGGCAGCCCTGGAAGTGCTGCAGCTGGCATTGTGCTGAAGCTGTGCCAAGGCTGTGTGCAGAGGTGTCCTCTCTGTGCAGTTCCAGGTCTGTTCATGTCAGCAGCAGCAGGTGTAGAGGCAGAGGAGCAGACAAGCACCCGCAGGCAACACGGAGGGATGGAGTTGGCCCCTGGCCCTGTGCCAGCAGAGTTGTGCTGTGTGCTACTGAAAGGAAGGAATCTGACACCACCACATGACAAAGTGGCCACAGTTGTACAGTGCTTTACCTTCAGCTGAGCCAAATGGATCAGGACATAAGAAACATTCCCTGTGCCAAGAGGCACGTCCTGTTCTTTGAACACAGTTTGTCACAGCCAGCAAATTCAGGAGGTCTGGTGAAGATGGTGGGGATGGTTCTGCCAGAGAAGCAGAATGGTCTGCTCCTGGACAGGTCTTTGCTAAGTGTTTCAGACCTGCCAGTGTCAGGATGAGCTCTCTGGTGTTACTGCTTCAGGCTTGGATGGTGCTTTTACACTGAGTTGAAGCAGTTGGGTTCTTTGAATCACAGCTCCCCTCAGGCTTGAGCAGTTGGCAGAGGTGGCACTGAGGTTGTCACTGCTCTCATGGAGCTGGGGGCAGTTGTGGCTGTGGACTGGGATCGGCTTTGCTTGCACACATAGCTGGAAAAAAACACATAGCAAAACCCTCCATGTAGTAGGGAAATCTCTGTAGCAGCAGAACACTCCAGACTCAGGTGAAATGCAGAAATTGAATAATAACTCTCTTATCTGCCGCACACATAGCTGGAAAAAAACACATAGCAAAACCCTCCATGTAGTAAGGAAATCTCAGCAAAACACTCCAGACTCAGTAGAAATACAGAAATTGAATAAGAACTCTCTTATCTGCCAGTGCACTAAGAAGGTGGCAAGGAAGAGCTGGAGTAATCCCTGCAGATGTAGGAGAAAGTAATCCATATTGTGCCTGGAAGGCTGTAAAAATATCCCCAAATTCAGTTTATTAGAGATGCATGTATGTCAGATGACACTGTGAGGCTGAATTTTTAGATGCCATAAATGCCTGCTGTGGAGAGGCTCTTGTGAGTCAGGGAGCTCATGAGGTGTAACTTCTGACTCGTGCTCTGAGCAGTGCAGAAAATGTTTATAGCAAAGGTGTGTTTAGAAATTGCTCTTCAGCACTGACCATGATCACTCATCTTTGGTATCCTTTGAGAAGTGCTATAAAGGCCCCCAGACCCTGCCACTTCAGTATTCATCCAAAAAACCCATCACCCAACAGCAAAAAAAGCCAGAAAACAAACCTTGTCAATTGAATAAGCTTGTTTAAGAATAGGTAATGAAATCAGAAGGGTGAATACTTTGAGATGGTACAGAGACTGTTTAAGAAGACATTTTATTGGAGGATCAGAGGGCTGATCAAAACAGCTGACAAAATTAGGCATAGGGATGAGGCAATAGGGATACACACCCCAGGAGCTTAATTTTTATTCAATGAGAAAAATGGAAAGAGCAAACTTTTAAGCTTAAAAAAGCAATAAGGTTGACCAAAATTAGTTAGAGGCTAGAGGTCTGAAGGGATATTTTTCTGAAAGGGTTATTTTTCCTTCCCAGCACATCAGGGATGGGAAGCAAGCTGGAGTCTCTAAAATCAGGAGATAATGCAGGAGAACTTTTTATGAAGAACTCTGAAAACAGGAATGTTTAGAGGCTCACATATGCCACTTTTTTGCTTTTAAAGGAGTCTCATTCTGAAGTAGTTAATACAGCAACAGTGTTGTTTGTTAATCAAATTCGTGGTTGTTGTTTTTGTTTTTAAACCATAATCTGGTTCCTTTTGGAGGATTAATTCAACAACCCATAAACAAAGGAACACATCATTGGGGTTATCTTGTCTTCATTCAAGAGCTCTAAAGAATGAAATAGCTGAGCCATGGACTATGGAGTGTGACATTTAAAAAGTCTTGATTACAGACAAGAGATGCGTGTCTGTGGGTTTTTCCCCCCACAAGGGATCCAGAGGAATGAGATCACAATCACATAGTGCTTCCTCTAAAGTCTCTTCCATCCTTGAGATCTCTACACCAGAGCAGAACCTTCCTTGTTGGATTTCTGGAGGTGAACACGAGTTCAGGAGCTGAAGGGCTCAGGTGTGCCGGGCTGTCCCCACAGCATGTGCAGGGGGGGAGTTCAGGGTTGTGCTGGCCATCAGCAGCCAGTCTTCCCTGGATGATCTCATCTCCTTGGCCCCTCAGAAGACAGCTGGGTTGAGCTGGTATGATCACATCAGGCCCTGTGTGTGCCTCAGGGAGTTGTGTTTTCTCACCGTGGTCCATATCCTGCTCTATGCACTGCAAGCCAAGAGTTTGCTGCCTCTTTGCTCTTTCTGTTGGTCTCAGGAGGAAGGGTCTGCATCCTCTGGCAGCTGGTGCGCTTCAGAAACAGAGCATCTCTTCTGAAAGAAGAGATTGGCTTATTTTAAAGCAATGTACAGCTGGACTTCAAGGGTTTGAAATGCAGAAAGTCATGCTGCCAAAACGTGGAGTGTACGAGAGAGTCGGTCCTGTTTGCAAAGAGGTAACAAGTGATGGGGCAAGAGGACATGGCCAGAGGTTGCACCAGGGAGGTTTAGGTTGGATAGCAGGAGAAATTTCTTCATGGAGAGGTTTGTCAAGCACTGGAATTGGCTGCCCAGGGAAGTGCTGGAGTCACTGTCCCTGCAGGGATTGAAAAGATGAGTAGCTGTGGCACTTGGGGACGTGGTTCAGTGGTGAGCTTGGCAGTTTTGGTCACTAGTTGGAGTTGACAATCTTAAAGGTATTTTTCCACCAAAACAATACTATTTTGTACTAGCAAAATAATTGTAGGCCAAGATTTTATAAACTTGTAGATCTCTTAAGGATTAAAATTTCAGTGTAAACAAGAAATAATCAGTTATTGCCATTTTCAGCTAACAGTGACTGAGATTGGCAAGTTAAGGACAGGGCACAGTTTCTGCAGGGGACTTAAACACATAACTTGAAGAAATAAAACTTTGGGCTGAAATTCTGAAATCATATTTTCATACCTGGTTAATGTTTTATGGAGCAGGAAGCCACAGGAGGAAAACTGATGGAGTGAAGGAATAGCAGGAGACTGCCTGTAGCCTGCTTGGATTCTTACTTTTACAGGAACAAGAGCCCAGCAGTTAATTTCAAAGCTCAGTAACCTAAAAATATGGGAGTGTGTTGAGAAAAAAAACCAAAAACCTGAGTTGTACTACCAGAGGATATTAAGAAAATTACAGACCATGCAAATTAACAGAAAGAGAAGACACAAAATGGGAATGTGCATAAGTATTGCAGTAAGGAAGAGGAGACTGTGAAGGCTGGATAGGTGCACAGTGCTGCCTTACTGTGCTGCTGGATAGGTGCACAGTGGTTTTTATGAGGGTGGAATAAACAATCAGACTTTATACAAAAAATGGCCTCTGAGCTGCCACTTGGAGAGCAGGGTCAAGCTGTGTCCCACTTCATGGAAAAGTGAGTTCAGTTCTCATCTGCAGTCAAAGCATAAATGGAATAATGGAGTTCAGGAGGGGGAGGAATAGAAAGCAAAGCAGAGAACATTGTTATGCTGTTATCTGTAATAATCACCTTGGTCTTGTGTTGTGTGATGCTGGTGGCTCTGGTTATTCCCTGCTTCTCAAAGAAGTTACAGAATGGAAGTGTAGCAGGAGCACTGAGGCAGAGATGAGCTTCCCTGAGAAGAGCTGAGCAGACTCTGATTAACCAGCCTTAGACCTTTTAAACAGCCAGAAACCTTTGGGGAGGGGGTGTAAATCAGGACTTCAAAATCCTTGAGAAAGTTGTCAGGGAAATGCTTTTCCTCTCTCTTCCAATTGTAAAAATGCAAGTACAAATGAAAAATAGGTTGGGCAGGAATTGAATGGGGGAGCTGTGGGATGTTGCCTTTTCAAAGAGTTTACAAAGGTTCAGAAAGTGAGATTGTGTAAAATACGTGCTGAACAATGAAAGGGTGTTCTTGGGAAGTACAACTGAGTGCTCTGTCCTCTGCATCCACTGTCAGCTATTTTTGGAGACAGTACATCAGGCTAGACAGACATCTGTCCTCATATACTATGTCTGCACTTAGGTGTTTTTTACTGTCTTGTTAATCACCTATATAAATAGGTTTTTCTGATATGTGCGTAAAAATATTTCAAATATCAAATTGAGAATTAAACTGCTGATTGTTTTCTAGTTCTTTTCCTACCAATTAAGAGCTAAAGAGCTGTAATTGTACATTGGAAAGCTGTCAGTTACTAGAGGAGATTGATGTTTTATCTGGGATTCAATATAATACATAAGTAATGGAAAATATTTAGTAATTTTGTCATTCTTCCGTAATTTTTGTGTGGATTTGGTTTATTTTAGTGCTATATTTCTGCTGCAGGGAATCTTCTGCTGTGACCATTCTTTTGCTTGACTGATATTTTGTTTGGTTTTTTTGAAGGTACATGGGAATAGGACTTTCTGCTCAAGGAGTCAACATGAACAGACTTCCTGGTAAGTCACTGCTAAGGTTTGTTTTGACCTACAATCTGTGTTAAATGTTCATTTGAAATAAAGATTTTCCTTTATATAGATGTATTAGTGAATGTGTCTTTCTATTAATAAAATTGCATTACTATAATTGTCTTATATCTGGAAGCTTCAACCTGTTGAATGTTATCTTAATTGAGTTACTGGTGTTGTCAATGCAGCCATGATGATTTCAGCAGATAATAGAAATTAAAAGTAAGCTAGTAGGTAATGGGCAAGATGATGAGCTTTCAGACAGGCAAACTCTTCTTTGTGTCTGAAAAGTAAGTAGGAAAATAATTTTGCATTTAATCTGTATACTCCACTTGACAAATTTACATGAAAGAATCTGAAAATGACAGGATAATTGGCCTGTTGTATTGTCCCTATTCTTTCCTTCTTCCCACTGAAAGACTACAAAAATGTGATAGAGTGGTATTTCCAGTTAATATTGTTGCTTCTTTTGTTTGAAATGTGTGTTTTTAGGTTTGCTGCTAAGCTGGTCGAGTGGCTTCTTTTTAGAAATAAATAATTGGTAATCCTTCTTTGACAATATCCAATTTATTGAGCAAAATAACAGTTTCTAGATATGTGTTGACGTAGTGATTTCTTTGCCAGAAATTCCTTCAGCTGGGCTTGAAATTGGAAGTTTGTATTTGGTAGAAAGCAAATGTTCTCCAGATGCCAAAGTGAATGACAGCTGGTCAGTGGTGGGGGCTTTTTTGACCTTGGGTGTTACTTCTGGTGAAGTTGTTTTAAAGGTGAAATCTGTGCTCAGCCCTTATGGTACCTGGAAAGGAGAATATTTTGTGAATGTCCTAACAAAAAAAAAAGATCTGTCTTGGGGAGAATGGTTTGAGTGACACCCGTGCTTCAAAGAATTTGCATCTTCAATCTGTATTTGTTAGTAATTTATTGTTATGACAACTGTACCAGTCAGTCCTACACTTCCTCAGTCCTCCTGATCCAGGTGGGTTGTGTTCAAGGCCAAGCATGGATCTAGCCCCACCATCTCCTTCCAGGGTTGAAGTACTTGGAAAAGGGGTTGTTTGGTGGGTAATGGAGCCTGCTGTGTTCAAGAAATGGCTCTATGGCATGTGTGATGGAAAGATGGGGGGAATGGCTTGTAGGCTTGGCCTTGCTGGTGGTTGGTTGGATTGTGCTGCATTGAGAATTCCCCTGGGGTTATAGCACAGGTACATCCAGCTGTGATGGTGTGTGCTGAATGTCCCAGGTGTGCTATCCTGAAACTGAACAGACAGTGTAATTTATTCTCTTTTTTTTTTTTTTTCCCCTCTTTGGTGACTAAAAATTACCCAAACCACCTGAAACTGAACAGACAGTGTAATTTATTCTCTTTTTTTTTCTTCCCCCTTTGGTGACTAAAAATTACCCAAACCATTTCTGATAAATGGCTTTAAACCCCAGGAGTCACATGGGCAGCACTTCTGGCCAGTTTGAGTGCCTGTACACCACTGTCATTTCTAGAGTGCATGTCACGAATGTGGAATTCTTTTCTCTCAGTGAAATAAAGCATAAAGTGAACTTGAGACTTGAGATTGTACAATTAATTGCTAAATAAGCACTAATTTGATCCCATGAACCTGTTGTTTGTTTGATCACACGCAGATTATGCTGCCAAGAGTCATTCTGTGGTCATTGTTACGTTGCTCTCCCATCATCTGTGTAAGATTAACTGCATGGCTCTGTATTACAGCTCAGTAATTATCATCCTGGCTTTTGGAGAATGAGTGATGTTTTTAATAGATATATTTTTTTGGTATATTGTTCAAGTAACTGAAGTGAGAAACATTTCCAGGCTTAACTGTTATCAGGTCCTTCACAGCACAGAGTAAGTGAGAGCTCACAAAGAAGTGACAGACTTTGGAGTCTTGACTTGGCTTCATGTCAGAGTGTAATTTTAACTTTTTGTGACCTGAAACCCTGCCAGGTTTGTCTCCTTAGACCCTTTCTCAGTCACTTATGCTTTAACAGATCGATTTTCACTCAGTGTGCTGCCAGGGAAGTGTGTAACCACTGCAAATGGTGGTTGGGAGCCCAGAGCCTGGTACAGGAGCCAAAGTTCTTGTTCCCAGTTTCACTGGGGATCCTTGGTGGCACCCTGGGAGTCCTAATTCAAAGAACAGTGTTGCTGCTGGGTTCTGTCTCAAACGCCTTTTCCTTCCACAAGGACAAACACTTTGGCTATATCCAGTTCCAAGTCAGGGCATTTGTGCTTTATTGCCCAATTTATTTTGGCTTAAACCCAGCTGGGTGCTGGTGGGGGTAGTGCTGAGCTTTCTCTGAAGATTATAGATGTGATTGGAGCCACATGAACTGAGTTCCCTTAACTACCCCTGTCTGCATTGAGAATAGAGATTGCTTTTAATGGGAGAGTTCCCTGTCCATGTTCTACTCAGGGTTTCTTTGTGCTGTGCTTTGAAATTCAGTCAGCAGGTCTGAAATAATTGTGGGATTATTATTAACTACCAACTTTTGTGACCCTGACATATCTTGATTTTAAAAAATAAAATTACAGACGTTAAGAACATTTACTAATAAGCATTCTGCTCTAAACCAGTGGCTTTTAGTGAAATGTCTGCTCACTTCTTTCCCCACGTTCAGCTTTTTTTCACGTGCACTCAGCATTTTGGTATTTGAGGATGAAGTTACATGTTGCAGCTGAACTGATTCCATGTCATCAAAGGGGAGAAACCTGACCCTTCCCTCCTCTCCACCCCATCTGCACAGCCACTCTTCTTCCCTGGTGCAAGCCTTTGGCTCGGGCAGTTGTCACCTTGGCCAGGCAGGATCCTGCCTGCCTCTGCTGTGCTGGGCCTGTGGTGGGCTGGTTCCTCCAGGAACCATGGAGCAATGCTCTTAATTGTGCATCCTGCATGTGACAGATCAGCATCCTTTTTTATTTTGTTACTATTGTTTAGGCCTCAGTCCAGTAAGTTTTCCTGAGCCCTGCTGAAAATGTGTTGGTAGTTTGCTGCGGGTTTCACCAAACCTTCATAAAATGAGATGATGATAAGTGTCCTGTCCTTAACCTGGATGAGATTGCACACTGGGAATGAGTCTCCCTGTCTATGATATTCTGCATTAATTCAAGTTTTCATGCTGTTGAGAAATAACATTTCATTTGTTTGAGCTCTTTGAGGCCAACCCAGCAGGAACATAGAGCCAGGCAGATAGGGAAGGAGGGATGAATCTCTGAGGTAGCAGCAAGTTCTTAATTCAGCCTAAGATGTTGTGAAACCACACCTTCAGGCATACCCTGCTTCAGTGTCTTAAACAGCACAGATAGGAGCTGACCAATCACTTTTAGAGACTTTAAACACCCTCTGGTTAATAAATGACCTGCCCTGCTATGCAGCATTGTACATGCTGAAGGGAGTGCCAGCTTTCACTCACCATTCTTTGGTTTTCAGAAACGTAGGTAATTTTTTCAGCTTGCTTTTCAAACAAAAAGATACTGCTTGGCTTATTCACCATCTGCCTGCTCCAAACTCTCTGTTAAAACAAAAAGGTTTCAAACTCAAGAATGTTTTACAGACTTGAATTAGTGTACAGCCAGATAAATCAGGAGAATTTGGTGTACAGAGTCCTGCTCCCTATTGGGGTTTGGCTTCTGGGTCTGTAGTGCTGTGAGCCAGGTCAGCAAAACTGGAAACTTTTTGCCCAGGTGTCCTGAGTCTTTTGTTCAGTAAAAGGTCCTTGTGAGTGACCCATTTATCTAGACATAAAGATAAAATAGAAATTAATTCCCCCTGCTCTCCTTCTCTGTGAAAGCCATCCTTTGTGCTCCATAAACCAGTGTGTGGATTGAACTTTCCATTTTAGCTTTGTTTGGAGATCCTTTCCTTTGAATTTTCTTGCTGATAGGTTTCTGTTGACACTTGTAGGTAGGACTTTATTTCTTCTCAGCTTATCTTACATGCTGTCAGAGGAGATGCAAGCAGGGAGAGCAAGACTCTTGAGGACTCTGTCCTCCTGTTCCTTTCTTTGAGAGGAAAAAATTGCTTGTTTCTTCCTTGGGGATGTTCCCAGGGGGTTTTCATGTTGGTGTGCTCCCCTCTGGGAGCAACCAGAGAAGGGAGGCTGGGTAGGTGTTGTATCATAAAATCATAATGTCCCACGCTGGAAGGTATTCACAAGGATCATTGAGTCCAACTCCTCGTCCTGCACAAGTGAAATTCTCATGGGGAGATATTATTCCTCATCAGAGTTGGAGATGGGTTTCTGCAGAGGCTCTGTATTTAGGTTTTCAAACCTCAATTCCACAAGGATCTGGCAGCCTCATGTAACTCTAAAGTTAATCCTGCTAGAAGTGGGAAGTTCTGCTAAAGTCTTCCAGATTTTCCTTCGAGCCAGTTTTGGTTTGGTGTTGGTGTGGGGTTTTTTTGATGTTGGCTTTTTGTTATTTTTTTTGTTGGTTTTTTGGTTAGTTGGTTGGGTTTTGTTTGTTTGGCCGGGGGGGAGGGGTTTGTTTTTTTGTTTTGTTTCTTCTGTTTATGCCATGGAATCTTTCTACTTCAAATGTGTTTAAGGAAATTTTCAATTTATGCTTTGGCTTGTCGCTTTCTTTGACTCCACTGACGAACAAAGGACCTGTGCTAAAGGACTCAGTGGTAAATGTAGTAATTATAGAAGCTGAGACCTCACCAAATCATCTGATCTGAAGTGGATTCAATTAGCATTAGTCCTGCCTGACAGGTGTGTGTCTAAACCAGTCTTTCATTATTTTTCTGGCAGCTTCTTCCAACACTGTCCTTGTGTTGGAAACTTTCCCTGATGACAAAGCTGAATATCCCATGTAGTCTGAGTCTATTCTTGGGTCACGTGGAGGTGGAAAATAATTAATTTCTTTCCTCTTCTTAGCTCTATACATTACAATCTCTATCACTGTTTTGTGATCTTCTCTCCAAATCATACACTCCTGACTCTTCACCCTTCCCTCTTTGTCAGATTTTCTTGATTTA